AAGGCTGGGAAATTTATAAAGGAAAGAGGTTTAATTGACTCCCAGTTCTGCATGGCTGGGAGGCCTAAGGAAACTTACAATCATAGCGAAAGGCAGAGGGGAAGAAGGCACTTCGTCACAAGGCAGCAGGAGACAGAAGGGAGAGCAAAGGGGGAAGAGACTCTTATAAAACCATCAGATCTTGTGAGAACTCACTCACTATCACAAGAATAGCCTGAGGGAAACTACCTCATGTTCCAGTCATCTCCCACCAGGTCCCTCCCTCAACACCTGGGGATTACAATTCAAGATGAGATTTAAGTGGGGACACAAAGCCAAATCATACATTACAAAGCTCCATTACAGAAGTGCCCCTCTCCTGCTGCCAACGCAGTTTTCCACGTTCTTGAATTTAATATAAGTGGAATTATACAATATATAGCCACTTGAGTCTGGCTTCTTTATAATGCCTCTGAGATTCATCCGTGTTGTTGCTTGTAGTTTTTTCCTTTTTGTTGCTGAGTGGTATCCCATTACATGCATACAGCAAGAGTTATTTATATATTCACTAGATTTTAGACATTTAAGTTGTTTCCAGTTCTTGGCTATTATAAGTAAAAAAGCTGCCATAAAAATTCACGTACAGGTCTTTGCGTGGACATATGTTTTTATTTCTCTTGTGTAAATTTCTAGGAGTGGAATTTTTGGGTCATATGGTAAGTATATGTTTAACTCATAAGAAAATCTGTTTTCCAGAGTGATTATACTATTTTATATTCCCACTAGCAAAGTATGAGAGTTTCAGTTCACAGCAACATTATTCATAACAGCAAAAATGGAACAACACAAATGTTCTCTGTCAGAAGAATGAATAAATAAATTATAGTATATTCATTCATAAGAATACCATATATAATTAACTACAGCTCTGTGCACCAACATGACTAAAACACATTAAGCAAAGTAAAAGCAAATCACAGAATACATATGGTATATTCCATATATATGTACATATTTCTAAACTATGCTATAGTGTAGGGGTGAGAAGACATAGGGGTGCTTCAGATATATTGGTAATATTCTGTCTCTTAATCTGGGTGATAGGTACGTGGGTATTAGTTATTATTATTTAACTGCCATGATACATTTTATTCATATGTGTGCATAATATATTTTTATAATAGAAGTTTAAAAAGAAAGATAGTTGATGTTTCTTTAATCTTGCTGTGGCTTTTCTCTAAAAAGAGGAAATAATTGACTTGAGTATTTGTCCTATAGCGCCATGTATTTTCCCAATTCTGTTTAGTATTCTATGTACTTCTTCTGAGAGGTTGCAGTCTTAGTACTGGAGTAATTCTGGAATGCATTTCCATCTCTGAGAGTGAGTATTTAGGTATCAACTCTCAGCAGTATTAATGGCAGCAGTTAAATGCATAAATCCTTGTTTATGGAGATGAGAATATAGTCCACCTGATAGCAAAAATGATTGAGTAGAATTTATTTCTTAAAATTATACTGGGGAAGGGTGTGTCTTCTATTTATTTCTTTTGCAATTGAATTATTTAAAGCTGAGGTTTAAAAATCATCATGAAATTACCCCATAGCTGATTATAAAGGATCTGTCATGAATTCTAGAAAGCTCAGTTGGTCACTTATTAAATAAGAATATTGCAATATTGACAGTAAAAATTTATCTATCTCTCTTCTAAGTCATATCATAGCAATATAAATTGAAGAAGTTGAAGGTTTCATAAAATGAAAAGTGTCAGTGAGGAAAATGGAAAGATGGCAAGAAATCAGTTTTTAATGATTTTAGTGATATTAAAAAAGGTATAGATTATGGAGTTCCATCAGGTGGTGCATTTCCATATCCTTCCTTGGCATTATTACTGAAGGCAATATTTTTTTATTATAGTTACAATCTGATTACAACTTTGATTATAAATATATTAAGACATAATCAAATTGTATATTTGAATAAATTTTTTATAGCTGGAAATTAAATGTGAGTTATTACAGAAGCAATTTCAAATATAGAAGGTTAGTAAATGAGCACTTAATGTATTAAATAATAAAAAAAATCACCAATAAATACTTACAGAATTACTATAAAAATACAAATTAAACCAATTTTAAAAATGCTTTAATATAAACCATGAGCTTGATTTTTTTTTTCAAGTTTGAATCAAGATATATGAGTAGGAGTAATCATTCAAAAAAAGAAATAATTCTTCCATTGTGCTTCATATGATTTAGAAATCTTCAAAATATATTTTGCCCCATAGGATTATATGAGAAATGATGAAGATGCTACATAAAGGCGAAATTAACCATGTCAGTTGTTTTCTTATGCTAACAAAGAACTATCGGACTGGGAATTTCTGAAAGATAGGTTGCCTATTCCTTAGTTGATCGTAGCTAATAAATAGGAGTCCCCAATCTTTACACAGTAAGCTTTGATTATTTTGATGAATAAAATCATAAATAATTCTGTCCTAAAGATGAATTTAAAATTTTTACTTTGAAATATGGGTTTGCATTTTACTGTATTTATTTATTTATTTGAGATAGAGTCTCACTCCGTTGCTCAGGCTGGAGTGCAGTGGCATGATCTTGGCTCACTGCAACCTCCACCTCTCAGGTTCAAGCAATTCTCCTGCCTTGGCCTCCCGAGTAGCTGGGACTATGGGCGCCCACCACCATACCCAGCTAAGTTTTGTATTTTGAGTAGAGATGGGGTTTCATCATGTTGGCCAGGCTGGTCTCAAACTCCCGTCCTCAAGTGATCCACCCACCTCGGCCTCCCAAAGTGCTGGGATTACAGACATGGGCCACCACGCCCGGCCTGGGTTTGCATTTTAAATGACATATATTTGTACAAATTTCAAAACTGTTTCCATATGTACTATATAATTTGATGTTACTATAACTCCATGAGATTAACAGGGTTATCTCTATTTTGCTAGTTAAGAAAACTAGACTCATGGAGATTAAGTAAATTGTCTAAGTATCTTGACTAACGACAGATATAGCACTGGAATATTTTTTCTCCTTTTGAGACAGGATCTCCTTTTTTTGCCCAAGCTAAAGTGCAGCGTGTGATCATGGCTCACTGCAGCTTCAACCTTCCAGGCTCAAGTGATCCTTCTACCTCAGCCTCCTGAGTAGTGAGGACTATAGGAGTGTGCCACCACGCCTGGCTAATTTTTGTATTTTTTTGTAGAAATGGAGTCGCCATGTGCCCAGGCTGGTCTCAAACTCCTGAGCTCAAGCAATTTGAGCACCTCCTCCCGCAAAAGGACTGGGATTACAGGTGTGAGCCACTGCACCCAGCCTAGAGTGTTTGTCTTTTGCTTCTGAACTTAGTATTATTTCTATTATACTATCATTTCCATATCTGATGTTTGTCTTCAGACAAAAGTAAAAATTATGGTGTCACCTTGTTAAATTTCATCTTTGGGTGTTGTGATAGGCTGTATAATGGCCATCCAAAGATATCAGGTTCTAATTCTGAAAACCTGTAAATGTTACTTTATAAGGAAAAAGGGTCTTTATAGGTGTGATTTAGTTAAAGATCTTGAGATGTGAAGATTATCTTGGATTAACCTTGTGGGGCCTAAATCCAATCACAAATATCTTTATATAAGAGAGGCAGAGGGCGATTCCACACAGAGTTTTGTAGAAAACAGAGACACAGAGGAGAAAGCAATGTGACTATGGAGACAGAGATTAGAGTGATGTGGACACAAGCCAAGGAATGCCAGCAGCCACCAGAGGGGCAAGAAACAGATTCTTCCGTAGAGCCTCCAGCGGTAGTACAATCATGTAGACCTCTCCATTCCTGACTGTTGAAACTGATGGTGGACCTGTGGCCTCCAGAACTGGAGAAAATGAATTTCTCTTGTCTTAAATTACCAAGATGTGGCAATTTGTTGCAGCAGCCCTAGGAAACTGATACAAAGATACTGTTCAAAGTTTTCATACCCTATTCGACTCCGAGCAATTGACCAGATAGATTCAGAAGAACCTAAGGTTTATCCATAAAAAATTCTGCAGAATGGAGAATGGTTAAAATGCTGAGATTCCAAGCAAGACTACTTCCCTTTCTTCTTCTTTTTCTTCTTCTTCCTCCTCCTCCTCCTCCTTCTTCTTCTTTACTTCAAGTTCTGGGGTACATGTGCAGAACATGCAGGTTTGTTACATAGGTATACACGTGCCATGGTGGTTTGCTGCATTCAACACCCTGTCATCCAAGCACTTCTTTATGAAGACATCTGTTCTCTGAAAATTAATAGGGAATGTTCACAAGTTTAAAAGAGAAATGTTGCTGGGCACGGTGGCTCCCTGTCTCTACAAATACTTTCTAAAAAATTAGCTGAGCATGGTGGCATGACCCTGCTGTCACAGCTGCTCTGGAGACTGAGATGGGAGAATTGCTTGAGCCTGGGAGGTAAAGTGAGCTATGATTACACCACTGCACTCTAGACTAGGTGACAGAGCAAGATCCTGTCTCAAAATAATAATAATAATAAAATAGAAATATTTAAATGGAATAGATATTGCTAATTCATGTTAAAAAAAAAAAAAAAAAAGTCTTAGCTGGGCGTGATGGCTCACGCCTGTAATCCCAGCACTTTGGGAGGCTGAGGTGGGCGGATCAGCTGAGGTTGGAAGTCCAAGACCAGCCTGACCAACATGGAGAAACACTGTCTCTACGAAAAATACAAAATTAGCTGGGCAGGGTGGTACATGCCTGTAATCCCAGCGACTCGGGAGGCCGAGGCAGGAGAATCGCTTGAACCAGTGAGGCAGAGGTTGTGGTGAGCCAAGATTGTGCTATTGCACTCCAGCCTGAGCAACGAGCGAAACTCCGTCTCAAAAAAAAAGAAAATTATTGTCTCTAATAAGCTAAAATGTACTAAATCTACCTAAGAAAAACTGGGAGCATACTGTGTATTTATTTCGACGCCTAAAACTCAAAACCTTATAGTAAAGAAAGTGTTTTTCTTTTTTCTTTACAGAAAGAACGTTGGAACTATCATGTCTGGAAGTGTGTTCACAATCTAATTTCACCTATTCACTCTCCTCCTTAAATTTTTCCTTTGCGACTTTTCTGCAACCAGTGAGGGAAACTCGGATTATCATGAGAATCTTTCTAAATCCTTCCAATTTTCATAACTTCACCAGAACTTGCCAAGATATCACAGGTGAATTTAAAATGTGCTCCTTGTGTTTCATTTGTGAGTCTAAAGGAAACATGGATTTTATTTCTCAGGAACAAACATCAAAAGGTAAACACAAAGTGAAGGTGAGAATAAAATGGTATCAAGTATAAGTTAATTTATTCTGTTAAAAACATTAATGATATATTCTTTTTATTTACTTATTTTTTGAGACGGAGTCTCTCACTGTCACCCAGGCTGTAGTGCAGTGGCGCGATCTCGGCTCACTGCAACCTCCACCTCCCAGGTTCAAGAGATTCTCCTGCCTCAGCCTCCCAAGTAGCTGGGACTACAGGCGTGCCACCACGCTCAGCTAATTTTTGTATTTTTAGTAGAGACTAGGTTTCATCATGTTGGCCAGGATTGTCTCAATCTCCTCACCTTGTGATCTGCCCGCCTCAGCCTCCAAAATGCTGGGATTACAGGCGTAAGCCACCGAACCCAGTCCTTTTCTGGCATTCTTTGAGAATGGGAAACACAATTTCTTGGCATTTACCTTATTTTTCTGTTGTTGTTTTCAAGTACATATTAGGCATTCCTGTAGCTCCTCTTTTAAAAAATATTTTATCATTGTAGATTCAAGGGGTACATGTGCAAGTTTGTTACATGGATATGTTGTGTAATTGTGAGGCTTGAGCTTCCAGTGCCCCCATCACCCCAAATAGTGAACGTTGTATCCAATAGGTAATGTTTCAACCCTCATCCCTCTGCCCCTCCGCACTGACTTTGGATGAAGTTCTTGCTCAAGTAGTGCCGTAACTCTTCCAAGTTCTGGGCTGAATTCAACAGAAGGCAAATTGTGAAAATGCCTCTGTGATGACAGAAACTAGGAAGTGTTTTAAGGGTTAATAGCTCACAGATCTTCCTTCTCTGCATCCTTGAAAGGTGAAGACAGGCCTGGTGCGGTGGCTCACACCTGTAATCCCAGCACTTTGGGAGGCCGAGGTGGGCAGATCACGAGGTCAGGAGACCACAACCATCTTGGCCAACATGGTGAAACCCCGTCTCTACCAAAAGACAAAAAATTAGCCAGGCGTGGTGGTGCGTGCCTGTAGTGCCATCTACTCAGGAGGCTGAGACAGGAGAATCGCTCGAATCCGGGAAGTGGAGATTGCAGAGAGCCGAGATCGTGCCACTGTACTCCAGCTTGGCAACAGAGCGAGATTCCGTCTCAAAAAACCCGAAAGATTACAGGCATAAGCCGCTGTGCCCAGCGCATGTTGTCTTTCTACTTGGGCTAATTTGGGTGTCTTCACATCATAGTGGCCTTAAGGTGTTGGACTTAAGTATCGTGGTTCAAGCCTCCAGTATTGTTTGGAGCCTAGAGCTGAGAGTCAATTTTTTTTGAGACAGAGTCTCACTCTGCTGCCCAGGCTGGAGTGCAGTGGTGTGATCTTGGCTCTCCCTCCCAGGTTCAAGCAATTCTCCTGCCTCAGCCTCCCAAGTAGCTGGGACCTATAGGCATATGCCACTATGCCCAGCTAATTTTCGTATTTTAAAGACGGGATTTCACCATGTTGGCCAAGCTGGTCTCAAACTGACCTCAGGTGCTCCACCCGCCTTGGCCTCCCAACGTACTGGGATTGTAGGCATGAACCACCACATGAGAAAGCCTCTTCTGTTCTTTAAGGCCCCCAGTTTATGGTACTTTGTTACAGTAGCCCTAGAAAACTAGTACACTGTGGGATGGGAAATGTTGTGACCACATTGGTCACACAATACATTCTGTCCCACAAGTCACTGGGGAAGTGTGTGTGCTTCCTTTGAGATGCTCCAATCCTATTCCAACACTACCACTACCTGGTTTTCATGATCTTAAAAAATATAATCACTTTCATAATTATTTTTAGGTTGGCCTCAGTGGCTCATGCCTGTAATCCTAGCACTTTGGGAGGCTGAGGAGAGAGGATCCCTTAAGTCCAAAAGTTGGAGACCAGCCTGGACAACATAGCAAGACCCAATCTCTATAAAAAATTTTAAAAAATTAGCTGAGCATAGTGGCACACAGCTGCAGTCCCAGCTACTCAGGAGGCTAAGGTGGGAGGATTGCTGGAGCATGGGAGAGTGAGGCTGCAGTGAGCCATGATTACACCACTGCACTCCAGCCTGGGCAACGGAGTGAGATCCTGTCTCAAAAATATGTATATATTTTTAGTGTAAGTAACTTCTTGTTTCTACTTTCCTGTACAGAAAGGAAGAGATTTAGTTTTGAATTGTATGTGTTTTCTTGCTGTGTGTTAATATTTTGCAAATAACATTTTTTTACTTTCTAGTTCTTATCAGGAGAGGATCAATGGAAGTGAAAGCAAATGATTTTCGTTCACCTTGTCAGCATTTTAACTTCACTGTAGCTCCTCTAGTTGATCACTTGGAGGAATATAACACTACTTGTCATCTGAAAAACCACACTACAAGATCAACAATCATGGAGGAAGAGCCCAGCAAGGAGAACTCTATAACCCATCCTTGTAGAATCATGGAATACCCGAATGAGTGTATACACATTTCTTTGCACCTAGAGATGGATATAAAAAGTTAAGTTTTTAAGGAAACTAGAGGGAAAAGAAGTTATCAGATATAGATACATAAAATTAAGAAAAGGCTATCGCATTAACTAGAAGCCGAAGAGCTGAAGAGTTTTACTGATGAAAACATATAGCCTGTAAGAACGTTAGTCTATTTATCCATTTATTTTTCCCTCAAAATATGCTTTTTATGGGGCCTACCTGTAATTCGAGAAAGGGGAAGCATTTATGGGTCACGATCTGGAAGGACCTTCTGCCCCAGAATACATTTTTTGTTGTGGTGGTGGCGGTGGTGTTGGTCGTTTGAGACAGGGTCTGTTGTCCAGGCTGGAGTGCGGTGGCACGATCACAGCTCACTGCAGCCTTGACTTCCCAGGTTTGGGTGATCCTCCCACCTCAGCCTCCTGAGTAGCGGGGACTACAGGTGTGTACCTCCACACCCAGTTAATTTTTTGTATTTTTATTTTGCTGCATGAGGAATGCAAGCCTGGCAGCTGAATAGCATGGAATAATCTTGGGGAGGCTGAGTGCTGCCATCCCAATCCACCTCTGCCCTTTCTCTACTTAGCTGCCTCTCTAAATGAATGTTGAATGCCTATTTAGTGTACAACTGGGTTCCTGTGAAGGGGACACCTAGGTTTATGAACCCCACAAAGGCAGTCATCCAAGAGTATAAATATGGTATACATTCTGTTAAGGTGAATAAGTACTAGGTGTGTTTTGTATACAAAGAAGAGTATACACAGGGTGGCTTAGAAAGTCAGTAGATAGTTGTATGTTGGCTATGATGAGACCACCCTTGTGTAAGTCACTGATTCCTGGTTCTGCTGGCCAGTGTGTCTTTATGAGACCGCAGGAGACCATGCTAAGCTATTGCTGCATGGTGACCACCCTTACCATGTTGCCTCATTGTCATCTGAATGAATGAGTTTATACCTGTATCCTTATTAAATTTAGGCCAGGGCAGCTATGTTTAATCAACACACGCATTTGATCTGACCATTGGCCTGTAAACCACTGTACTTACTGCCTATTACCCCGTGGAAAGAGGATCTGATTATTCATCGTCCTGGCCACTTATATGCCTCAGACTAGTCCTTTGACTTTGCCTGCCATTCTCTTTCTTCCCCATCATCCTTGTACTCCCTGCATCTTTCAACAAAGAATTCAAAGTTATGAATTCTAAATGGCTCTGATGCTGGGACCGCCATGTTGCGGTCTTATCCTAGTTACAGCGATGATAGTGAAACTCATATCGGCATAACCTGTAAGGGAAATGAATCCTAGAATTTTGGAACTAAATGGATACCTGGAAGCTACCTGCTCAAGTTTTCCCATTTAATACCTTGATTTAACATATCAAGAAAGAATTCCGGAGAGCTAGTGACCCTGTAACAGTGATGGTCATAATTTCAGCTTTTCAGTTCAGGGCAGAGTATGTTGTAGAACTCAGCTAAGCTGCCACATTGCCTTTTACCTGTTGAATAATTTTATTGGGTTTTTACAGTATTTGTTTTCTTTGCAGGTATCACTTGTTCTATAAAGATCACTTGGTATGTTTTAGTTCTATTAGTTTTTATATTTTTGATTGTCCTCATTATCTGCAAAACACTTGAAGGCCACAGAAGAGTGCAGAAGTGGCAGAGTGAGTATAATCCACGTAGTGCCAAGGAACTCCGAATCTCTTCTATTTTTAGTTCAATGTAGCATTTATTGTGCACCTACTGTGTATAAGTGGCAATTCTAGGCAATCCAAGGAATAGAAGCATAGATAAGACACAGTTCCAGCAATGCAAGGAGCTTCATTCATCTTTCTTCTACTCGGACAAGTGAGTAGGAGAGGAAGAAAGGCTGGGTGAATAGGAAGAAGCTGATGGGCTGGACGTTGAGCAGGGCTTAGTGGAAGTGAGGGCAGAAGGAGAGAGAGAACAGGAACTGAGGATAAAGAATTTTAGGCCAGGTGGGGTGGCTTATGCCTATAATCCCAGCACTTTGGGAGGCCAACGCAGGCAGATCACCTGAGGTCAGGAGTTTGAGACCTGCCTGGCTAACATGGTGAAACCCTGTCTCTACTAAAAGTACAAAATTAGTGGGGTGTGGTGGTGTGTACCTATACTCTCAGCTACTTAGGAGGCATGAGAATCACTTGAACCTGGGAGGTGGAGGTTGCAGTGAGCCAAGATTGTGGCACTGCACTCCAGCCTAGGCAAAAGAGTGAGACTCCATCTCAAAAACAAGAATTTCAGAGTTGGAGATCTTGAGCAGAGTGGCTTTAGGTGACGAGTGTGAGGCAGAGTCAATCTTTAATAAGCATGGTGGTTATCAGATTGTTGGTAGGGCAGAGCTAAAAGAAATTAGAAATTAGGAATCAGGACAGTAGGAATGATGTTAAAAATATTTAATAACTCATATGACCTAGGCACTCACCTATCAGGGTGGACATTGATTATAAATTACTGATATGGTGCTACTGGTGTGTATTCAGGCAAATGCTGGTTCTACTGGCATGTACCCATGCATAAAATGTATGACTATCAGGCTCAATGGACAGTTCCCAGTATGAGTAACTAGTCTTTTAAAGACAGTGCAAAATGTATCACTATTAGAATAGGCACTGAAAACAAATGGATTTATGTTAGAGTCCTAGTACTACAACTTACTAGTGATGTGACATTAAGCAAGTTATTTAAATTATGTATATCCTTACCTCCTCTGTAAAACAAGGATAATCACCACTACCACACAGGGTTGAGGTAAGGAAACAAAGAGATTACTCACAGAGTTGACTACAGTGTCTAGTGCATAGTTTTCATTAAAGGACAGTAGTATTGCGAGGTTGAATCATTTCCCAAGGCTCTCGCCTTTTTTACCAGGCAAGGCAGTGTTAGCCATTTCAGTAGGCAGAACAGGTGGTTGCCTCTAGGTTTCAGTAAAGTTGCAATTAATTCCTTTGACTAAGCATTTGTTGCAGATGCTTTTGAGAGCAGTTTCATTGTGCAGCGGTTAATAACATAGTCAATACTGTTTATTTGTAGAATACCCATTTTCAGAGCATTTTCACTAGATTCTTAAAGTATGTAAACAGAATATATGCTATTTTTATTTTATAGATTAAAAAACCCTGAGACTCAGAGAGGTTAAGTGTTTTATCCAAAGCTGCATAACTAGCAAAATGTCAGAACTAAGATATAGGGGTATTTAGTGCTGAAAATTCTATTATTTAAAGTAAATGTGTGTTATTTATAAATAGTGCATAGTTCTGAGTCTCTTGACCCATTTTTCATTATGAAAAGCTATGAGCAAAGAGAGACAGAAGTGAGCTAGGAAAAATGTCTAGACGGGGACCAGTAGTGGGGAGTCAAATTAAATTCTTATAAATATCTGCCCAAATGACAGACTTAGTAATTTTGAAAGGCTTGCAAATCCAAGCATACAAAGTAATAAAAAATATCACACCACTTAGGACATTAAATGTTTTTGAATATTAAATATACATTAAATGTTCTTCACATCATGTCTATGTATATAATAAGATAAATAATATACTTTTCTGTGTATAAGAGCTGGCGCTTTTCATGAGAAGAAATGGCATAATGGCATTTATGGTAGTAGAGAAGCCACTGATTTTGGGAAGAACCTGTATTTGTTAATTGAAAATAACTTTATAAGGAAAACTCCCAGAATCCTGTTGCAAAAATATCTGCAACAAATAGTCAAAAGAATTAATTGCAACTTTACTGAAACCTAGAGGCAGACACTTGTTCTGCCTACTGAAATGGCTAGCACAGCCTTGCCTGGTAGAGAAGGTGAGAACCTTGGCAAATAATACAAGCACCACAATACTAGATGTAACACCAGGGGTTTGGTCTAGGTCCTGATGCTCACTGCACAGAAAGCCAATCACTGAAAGGATCACTGTTGCCAAGGAAGAAGGCTTTAATTGGGTGCTACAGGTGAGGAGCTGGGAGCTCAGTCTCATATCCATCTCCCTGACCAACTAAAACTAGGGGTTTATATAATAGCAGAGAAGAAGTGTAACAATGTGTAAGAAAACAGGAACTAGGGAGGGGTAAGAAAACAGTCATGGAGAATGAAGGGTCTGGCATCTCTTTGTCTGGATATGGAGATCTGGACAGTTTCAATTCTTTGATACTGTTTTTTGAGAGGAACTCGGATAAAACAAATGTAAGGTTCAAGCTTTAAGACCAGAAGGGTCAATTTCTATGTTTATCCAAAAAACTCTTTATGGGACTGTTAGGTCAGTTTCATTATTCTAGGCCCTGTTGTGAATGGCTCCATTCTTTTTGGTAATCCTTTGAGCCAACATGGGGAATATATGTTAACAGTGTGCTTGCTTATTACTAAATACTTAATATCTTTTCTGGAAATAGGTCATCAAGACAAACCTACATCTGTTCTCTTAAGAGGAAGTGATTCTGAGAAACTGAGAGCATTGAATGTGCAGGTCATTTCAGGTAAGTTTTGTGGCCTGTAAACAGAACAGCACTCAGGAAATTCCAAAGCTGCATGGTTTCACTACAGAATAAACTCAAAATCTGAGACCTGAGCTTATGTAAATCAGCCTTGTATCTGCAATAACGGAGCTGTGGGCAAATGAAATCCAGTTTAATATGTCTCCTTATCAGGGAACAGTAGCAATCTAAACTACCTCCTTAAATAATGGAAAGTTTGCGTAATTGGCAAGAAGAAATTCATGTGAGTAGGCAGAGGAGAGAAAGCCATAGGGATAAGCCTTAGATTTATTTTTAAATGAGACAAGACATCATTATTCCCCAGAATTGCAAGAAGTAATTGCAGAATGGGCATGGCTTTCACTGGAGCCTTCAGTTAGCACAGGGTGTTGTTGTGTAAAGAGAACTTCTAATAGCCTCAATTAAAAAGCCCCCTGCCCTCTCCTGAGAAACAGAAATGGAATAAGGGAATTCTGATTAGAGCAGTGAAGGGGGCTGTTAGCACAGATGTTGTGGTTCAGTCTTTTTCTTCTAATTGTGAAGCCTCCTTTTGGATTCAAGCTGTCAAATCACGTTAGAAAGAGAAAGAGGGAGAATGTGACATGGACAAAGACCTCCTCTTCAGCAGAGAGAAATAATATCCTTGAACATGAAAACCACAGAATTATGACTGCTGTTACCAAAGCTCCTTGTACACTGCCAGCGAGCAGGCGCCTTGGTACGTTGTGAGAAGTTAGAAAAAAAAGAAAGCGCAGTTGGTGGGGGGGCTAGGAGAGGGACAGTGGGGGGCGGGGAGGGATAACATGGGGAGAAATGCCGGATATAGTCAAAGGGGGAATAGAGGCAGCAAACCACCTGGTTATGTATGCACCTATGCAACAACTCTGCATGACCTGCACGTGTACCCGAGAACCTAAAGTAAAATTAAAATAAAAGAGAGAAACCTAAAAAAAAAGTGGGAGGACACTGGCCAAACCTTCAGTCCCCCAGGCTACAGCTGCATAGAGATTCACACTGCATTTCATTGGGGACCTTGCAACCCTGTGTTCACTGGGAGCTTTTGTTAGCTATTTAAATGAGCAGATAAGCAGAACCCTAGCTTGAGTGCACCTAAGGAGCTTAAATATTTAAAAAATTTAAACTTTCTACCCAGCAATAGCAGTAACATTATTAAGCTATGACTGATAATAAGCATTAGCGAAATAATCATTTGACCCCAGTTAAATGTGGGGTAAGTTGATGAAAATTTTGTCTAGTGAATGAAAGTTTTGTTTTATTAATAAGTTAAAAGCCACAGTGTTGTTTTCAATGGCAAAATTAATTTTTAAAAGAAGAAAATGGCGCTTTTCCCTGCTTTCTCCCCTTAGTACATGTGCCCAACGATGAGGAATGTTTTAACACAGTTCTGTGGGGCTTTTGGTCACCTTAGGAATTCTGGTCGTTTCTGTTTTCAAGTCGTAATTTACAGCACTGCATTCTTGTCTGAGAAAAAGTCCATAGTTCCCCTGTGAAGCTGTATGTTCGAGGGAATCACAAATTTTAAGTACTAGCTAACCACAAGACTAACCTCACAAAGTTGTATTTATGAGCCTGTGACCAAAGAAATCTGACTTAGCCAACCTTTCCCTTAATAGCTCCCACTAAAAATCCTCTGGCTTTATGACCAGGAATATAATATTAATGTTTAGTGCAGGCCAAGGGGTGATGGCCATTTTTAAAACCAAGAACCCTTTTGAGGCTTAGCATCTTGAAGAAGGAAAGAGGCAGAGTCTTTCTTATTTATATTCCTTTAACCTAAATGCAACCTTTTCCTTCCCTATTATAAGCTGCTTTTCTGAGAGGGAAATGGAAAGGAAATCATGTCTCCCTTGAGTGCCGTTTTTAAGGCCTCTCTTTGTAGTGATGGATTATAGGCAGCAGTGAGAATGTACGGCAGAAATGTGTCAGCATGGTTCTCCGGAGATGCAGTCACACGGGTAGAAAAAGAAAACGTGGTTCAAAGCAGCGTTGACTGTGTCACCTTCAGAAGAGGCAGCTTGTTGTTGACTCTAGCCACACATTCCAGGATGTCTCTCCACTTGTTCATGCATTAAAAAGTGAGTTATTGTTATACACACGCACAGAGACAGAAGGACTCGTACCTCCAAAAGAAGTTTATTCATTCTACAAGAGAGAAATAAGGAGAGATTACCAGGACGCAGGCGCCACGTGTGTCTGGCACATTCTAGGGCACAGTGAACACTGATGGAATAAATGCATCCTGCTGCTGTAGAAGGAGATGTCATACCGAATCAAATCCCCATCTTTTATATGTCTGTAATGTTTTCCTCCTTGCTTTGAGAAGTGTGAGAGCTTATGTTTCCTGGCTGGGCATTAATCTACTTTCCATCTTATTCATTTAACTCTTATCTTCACGCCGATGATCTCTGTCTTATTTATCTGTGGATGGTTGTTGCTAGCATAGTATCTGGCAATATAAAAGCTTATTAAGTCTCACAAACCCTAAAGGGAAATGAGTATAGAGTAAAAAGAGCAGATGAGCAAGAAATGAATCTTAGGGATTAAGAAATATGACAACAAATAAAGTGACAGAGTAACTGGAGGGCATAGAATTCCACTTTACTGGCTGGACCTGGTGGCTCACGCCTGTAATCTCAGCACTTTGGGAGGCTGAGGTGGGCAGATCACCTGAGGTCAGGAGTTTGAGACCAGCCTGACCAACATGGTGAAAGCCCGTCTCTACTAACAATATAAAAAATTAGCCGGCTGTGGCGGCCTGCGCCTATAATCCCAGCTGCTTGGGAGGCTGAGACAGGAGAATCACTTGAACCCGGGAGGCGGAGGTTGCAGTGAGCCAAGATCACGCCACTGCATTCCAGTCTGGGGGACAAAGGTGAAACTCTGTCTCAAAAAAAAAAAAAATCACTTTATTAAGGAAGGCATAGCACACTTTGTAGAAGCGCTAAGGATATCAAAGAGTCATAAAAAACATTGACTGTTGGCTGGGTGTGGTGGCTCATGCCTGTAATCCCAGCACTTTGGGAGGCCGAGGCAGGCAGATCATGAGGTCAGGAGTTTGAGACCAGCATGGCCAAAGTGGTAAAACCCCATCTCTACTAAAAAATACAAAGAATAGCTGGGCGTGGCAGTGGGCACCTGTAATCCCAGCTACTTGGGAGGCTGAGGCAGGAGAGAATTGCTTGAACCTGGGAGATGGAGGTTGTAGTCAGTGAGCCAAGATCCTGCCACTGTACTCCAGCCTGGGTGACAGAGTGAAGACTCTGTCTCAAAAAAAAAACAAAAAAACAAAAAAACAAAAAAAAGCATTGACTGTCTTGAAGAAGAGATTTTGAAAACTATGCAAAAGTAACTCTAGGCTGAGTGTGGTGGCCCACACCTGTAATCCCAGCACTTTAGGAGGCCAAGGCAGGAGGATCACTTGAGTCCAGGAGTTCAAGACTAGCCTAGGAAACATATTAACTCCATCTCTACAAAAAATAAACAAAATTAGCAAAGCATGGTGGCATGTGCTTATAGTCCCTGCTATTCAGGAGGTTGAGGTGGGAGGATGGCTTGGGAAGTTGAGGCTGCAGTGAACTGAGGTCGCTCCACTGCACTCTAGACTGGGTAACAGAGCAAGACCCTGTCTCCAAAAAAAATCAAAAAGTAACTTTAAAATGTACCCCTAGAAACAGTGCTTAATGAGTTTACTGTGCTGGGAAACCAAAGCCAGGTGTAGGCGAAGTGGACTCGAATCTGAATCGTTGGTTGCAAATGTTAGAAGTCCACTTGACTGACGGCAGAGAGGACATTTATTGGAAAACCAGTAGGTGTCCCATAGAAACAACAGGCAAGCTCAGGAATCTGAGCTTGGAAAATAAACAGGATTAAGGGAGCCAGGGGTGGGCAGGAAACCAAAAATACAGCACAAGTTCCATGTCAGGAATGGTCTGGTGAGAATGACCCCACTGGTGTCACCACCCTCTGAACTGCTGGGGCTACCCCATGGCTACCTTGCTGCTTTGCATTTCTCCTGAGGATTGCAAGCTCCAAGGAGGAGTAGGAGGGGAGGCCGTACGGCGGTACTCTGGATGCCAGGAAGCAGGGAGAGGGGATATCTGCCCTTCTGGCTTTCTGCATACTCAGCCATCACCCCTGACATGTCCACATGCTGGACTGTCAAATAAATATCAACACGTCAGGCTTCTAGGATCAGAGCCAGTCTGAGTCCCAAAGCTGAAGAATGTTGGAGTCCGACATTCAAGGGCAGGAAGCATCCAACACAGAAAAAGATGGAGGCCAGAAGACTTAGCCAGTCTAGTCTTTCCACGTTCTTCTGCCACTTTTCTTCTGGCCTTATTGGCAGCTGATTAGATTGTGCCCACCCAGATTGAGGGTGAGTCTGTCTTTCCCAATCCACTGACTCAAATGTTAATCTCCTTCGGCTACATCTTCACAGACACACCCAGGAACAATACTTTGCATCGTTCAATCCCATCAAGTTGACACTCAATATTAACCATTATAAGCATTAAGTATTCAACCAATATTTATTGAACACTAACTATGGGCCAGCCATTATACTAAGCATTGCTGATATAATGGCACATACCATAGGCATAGTCCATGCCTTTATAGAGCTTCCAACATAGTTAAGGAGATTCTACCTGTGGTTGACATAAGAGAATGGAAACTAATTTCTTATTAAGCACCTTCCATATGTTCTGTACTTTCATGCACATCATTTCATTTGATTTCAAAAGAACTCCACAATAGTGAACTGGGGGACTTGGGGTTCAAGCCACAGGTCAAAAGTCTTCCTGCTCTTTTACATTTAACACTGGAAATCGAGATGAAACATTTTCTCTGTATAAGGTCGTAAAAGCTTGTGTATGACAATGTGAGTCATCCTCATCGCAGCATTGGCTGAAATTTTCTTGCAATTAGTGTGGGTGTGTTCTAAGGGAACATGAAGCACAAGAAAATGGAGTTTTACTGTGAAA